CGCTCTCCCAACTGAGCTATTTCGGCCGCTGTGCTGACGCTTCTGCGGTGAGATACCACTAATCTGTCCCTCCACACCCATCACCCGGCGACTCGCCGTCTATATTTTAAGTAAAATGGTTGTTATTAGCCACAAACGAGTCAATGACGGGTCCCGACAAACAAAATTATGCCGTCAGCCAAAGACAAATCAGCAGTAACACAAAATTATGCATATACAGACATCTATGCACAACACACCGACACACACCTCAGAATGAAGGTGTTTTGGCAGTGGCTCCGTGGATCATTGCAAGAGGTAACAGGAACTAGAACATTATGTAGGACTCAGGAGCATTAAATCGGCAGCATTTTACTTTCAGTTTTCAGGGATTTTATTTTAAAGCCTGACAAAATGTGTGCAGAGATGATGATGTCACAAAAAGACGTGAACAGGAAGGGCACCTGCACCTTCTTGCGTCCACTGGAGAAGCTCCCTGTGTCCACATAAATCACAAATCCTGACTAAGTAGTGTAAGAATAAAAAATAGTTTACATTCACGTTGTGGATTAGGCATTGATTTCAACAGGCAACTGGTAGCACACTCCTGTGGCTACAGGGAAAAGGTGGAGGATGCATCAGAGTGCCCACGTTTAGTGCCTGTGGTGGGCGCTGACGTCTCAAGTTTGTGCTGATTTGCACAGCCCGTGGTCTAGGAAAAGCCTCCTGTGAGGGCATCTCCTACTCACACTTCCTGCACACTGTGAGGGAGAGAGGCTGCCTTGCAAAATTGTCCACTGCTGCTCCCTCCTGTTAGTAAAAAACACCAAGACTCTCTTCCGTAGTACTAGAGGAATTTAACAAACCCCTCCTTTTTCAAGGGGGGAAGAAGCAGCCTCAGCCCAAGCCAGCCATGTGAATATTTGGTAACATAAATCCCCCTGTTTCCTTTTATTTTCAGAGTGTATTTTTCCTCACATTGTCCCACATTTGTGGGTTCTTCAGGAGCTGATACGTTTCCAGGAGTCAAATACCTGTTTTCAGAAGTACAAAGGCTGAGGACTGAGCCAGCAGTTTAGTGACTGAAAACAAAAACTCTTCACAAAAAAAAATCAGTTAGGGAGAGGTTAAAAAAAATCCACCCACACTTGTGCTTAAGAGGTGTGTGAACAACATACTGATACAAAATCTCATCTTCTCATGATTTTCCATTGCCACTGGCAATGATTGTTTTGCAGAGAAATGATGAACATAATCCCTTAACAAGACTGTCTCCTACTGATGCAGCTAACACAGTCTGTGATCTCTGGTGCAGATAAACTCCAAATGTGTCATGGCATGCAGAGAAGTCAAAACACTATTGACTTAAGAGTTTTCATACATTACCACAACAATCAGAGCTACTAGGGAGTAATGGGTTATTCTGATTCTTATTTTTAGAAATCTCTGTTTTGCCAGGTGAAATGGAAGTGACAATGGGAATAAAACAAAAAACTAAAGGTAATGCAAAACAAAAATAAATAAAAGAGAAGGACAATTCAGACTCAGACATAGCATATTTAATAAAAGAGTCAGCTTTTCCCCTAACAGAATTTGGTGAGGGGTTTTGTATTAAAAGTTCCTCCTTGTGTAGAAAGATATTTGCAGTTTGTGCCTGTCTAATGAGCATAAGAACACACTTTCAGCAAAATGGAGCATTCTGAGTCAAAAAAACCCCACAAACCAACAAAAAACCCCCACATTTTTCACCCACAGTCTTTCTCCTACATCAAAGAAAGTAGAGGGTGGACAAACCAAAGGTATTTACTAGTCCATCATCTTAGGAAAGTGTAAACAAGCCTAAACCACAGCTGACACCCCTTAATGCAAGCAGCACACAAATTTAAGCAAGTGCTGAGGTCAGACCAGAGAAAGCCTTGGAGAAAGAGCTCTCTTTGTTGCACAAAGTGGAGCTGATACACACACACCACAAATGCCCCACAGGCCACAGCTGGCAGGGTGAGCTGTGGCTGCCCCATCCCTGGCAGTGCTCAAGGCCAGGTTGGACAGGGCTCTGCGTCCCTGCACATGGCAGGGGGCTTGAACTAGGTGATCATTTAGGTCCTTTCCTGGCTGAATCACTCTGACTCTGTGAGTGCAGACGGCCCTGCCTCAGCTGCCCACTTCAGTGTCTTCCGGTTGTATTTTCTGAGACCCCCGTGGCAGGAAGGAATGATGAATCTGACTCCATGTTCTCAGAAGGCTAATTTATTATTTTATGATACTATATTACATTAAAGAATACTATACTAAACTATACTAAAGAATACAGAAAGGATGCAGACAGAAGGCTAGAAAGACACTTAGAAATCTCCTGACTCTCTCTCGAGTCTGACACAGCTTGGCGCCAGTTGGCCAATGGGTGAAAACACTCACACTAGAAACCAGTGAAACAACCACCTGTTGGTAAACAATCTCCAAACACATTCCAAAGCAGCAAAACACAGCAGAAGCAAATCAGATTATTGTTTTCATTTTTCTCTGAGGCTTCTTAGCTTCCCAGGAGCAAGATCCTGGGCAAAGAGATTTTTCCAGAAAATACGACAGTGATATCTTCCAAATCCTTTCACTTGCTGCTGGCTAGGGATGCACTGAATGGCAGCTGTGGCACACCAAGACAGTGAGGTGCAATCTTGGTTTTCCCCAATGCACAAGGGATTTCAGGAGCTGCTTCCCAAAGATCTGATCCAATTCAGAACAGTAATCCCAAAAAGAGATGCAAACCATCCAAATTCCTGATAGAACCTGAATCCAAACCTCTGCCCAAGTCCAGCCCTTCTCCCTTAGAAAGTTTTAGCAGTTAAGTGACATACACATTTACTCCATTTTTCTTACTGGTGTAGCCTCACTTTGCTCTGTGACACAAGCCTTGAAAGAGTAGACTGAAAGGTTACAGTGTTCACAGTATTTTACATCACAACCTCTGCCTCCTGCAGAAATGCTACCCTGCAAAATCAGTGAGAAACAAAATCCTGAAAGCATCACACTTCTCCACACTGACAGTTCACTAAGTTGATCCTTTGTCCTTTTCTTCCTACAGAAGCCAGGAGGCTAATGGCAAAATAAGCTGTTTTCTACAACAGAAAATACTTTTCCTTGTGAAAGAAATGCTCCTACCAGATCACTCAGCTGCAAAGAAAATCTGCTGTACATCAAAGTAGCTCAAAGCAAAAGCCTCCTACATTTCTTAAATACATACATTTCAATATTTTAAAATGTGCATTTATTTATCTATATACAAGTAATAACACTAAGACAAAAATCTCAAACACTTGGATGAATTAAATCTTCAAAAACATTTAAATAAACTAGAACAGCTGTCACTAAAAAATTAATAGATTCTATTGAAAATCCACCCCAGGTAATACAACTTCTTTGGATAGTCATACAAATATCAATGCTTGCATCTTCAGCATCTATACATTAAGAACAACTTTCAAAAGTTCTGTTCAATAAACTAATCACTCCCTACTGCTTTCTTGTGTGTATTTCTGATAACACTGTTTTTAGTGTTCCAAGACACTGTAGCTATTTTCAAAGGTTTAAAATATTTTTAAACTAAGGTTTATACATGTTTAAAATAGTAAGATTTTAGTTATCTGTAATCTCTACTCTTAAAAACACAGCACAGCCAGTATTCCAGTATAAGGAGATGTGAAAGACTCATATTTTCATACAACCTATTCAAAGCAGCTGTCACAGCAATCACAAATACAGCTAAGACAGATCTTTCCAGCACTTTAGCTATTTCTGGTACTGACTTGTACAAAATACAGAACAGTAAGATGGATATTGTAAGGAAGGATGCACTTTTTAAGGAATCAAGAAAAATTCTGTACAATCAAGTACAAAAATTAAGGAAATCTTTGAATTTAGTCAGCAACGTGCATTTGACAATGACATTTCAGTGATTCATCCATAGAAGCACATCTGGTAAGCCAAGTATGCAACAGATCATTACAGATGAAATCCTGTAACTTCTATCTGTCCCAGATGGAGGCTTTTACTTCCAAATCAAGCATCAGTAACTGCCACACAATTCTACTATCATTATCCCACTGTGTCACAGAAAACTCACCTTCAATAACAGGCCCCTAGACCCTAAAACCCATACCTGGCACTGCAGTAAGCCTAGAAACTTCCTGGTTAGCCTTCTTCTAGAGTGACTCTTGCCAGCCACAAGTGGCACTTTACCAACAGCACCATGCGCCACAAGGTGTGTGATGAAGTTGGGAACACTTGTGCTTCAGGAGCTATCTCCCAGTTTCTGAGGCCCTTTAGGAGTCACAGCTTTTTCTGAGTTCCCACAGCATCCCCATCCTGTGCCACTTGCAGCTCTGCCCAGGGGCCACACACGATCAGGGACTGGCCAACTACAGAAGGTGAAGTGACAAAACCGAGAACAGGGGTCCTTTTTATGTTTGCCAGATCACCTCAAAGACAAAAAAGTGAAGGTAATTTTTTCAGGATAGAGGAAGAGCTAAGAAATTATTTTTTTTTTAAAAAACTCACCATGTACTTTTTCAGCATGTTCTTCTTAATTAAGAGAAACCAGTCACACCGTAATATTTATTATTAAATCAACTGTGAACAAGATTCATTGACAGATTTCTAGAATTACAGAGTTTTTTCCCAACTTTTATATTAAAACTCAAATACTGTTTTATCTTTAAAATCTTTATTATAGAAAAAATGCTGATACACTGCATTGATTAAGGTCTGCCTACCCACAATTCACAGAAAAAGAAGAGTTTTAAAAAATTTCCTCCATAAGTAGCCTTCATGTCACAGGAAATGAGATCATTGGAATGTTAACTGTGTTCCAGTATTTCAAGTTTGTTACAATTACAACTAAGAAAAAGGACTTAACATGTAATAGACAGTAATACAGTCAAAAGAGTACAAAGTTTAAGGAAATACTTCTGGAAATCTCAGTGAGAGCACCTACTACTTCTTGACATCATTCCCCCCTTGTTCCCCTTAAAAGGGGCATTTAAAGTTATAGTGTAGGTAAGTGTACTCAGTCAACTACAAAAGCTAAAAGTGCACCAGCAGAGAAATGGACGGAACCATACAGGTGCTGTGTCCAGCTTCTGTCAATTCATAGTCTCCAAAAAATAGGTAATTTCTCCCCTTGATTAAAAATAAAACCCAATTCTTCGAAGTGACAAAAATTATATATATTACACTGTAAAAACAAACTAATACAGATGAATAATTCCAGTACTAAAACAAATTTAACTCCAAGTCTCAAAAGCTGCAATCACAGTTAATTATTCTTAAAAAGGCAGATTTTACTTCAGTACATTAGTTTATAACATTATAAATATTCTTCACTCCATACAGTTTTTTAAAATCAATACTTAGTGAGAATAGAGTATTGCACCGAAAGCTGAAACTAAGAGGTTCAACCTATAAAGTGCTGAAACCATTCCAAAGCTGTGCCACACTGTGGTTCTTTACTCATCATGGTTCATGTATCTTGAATACATTAAGAGTGCAGTGTGGCCACTTGATTGCAGGCTTTGAAGAAAAGATCATATGAGGTAGAAGAAACTCCTTCAGGTTCTGTGCCAGGCTATGGACCACTGAGCTGGGCAAATGGGTCTGTCACAGGAAAGGGCTCCAAAGCTTTCTCTGAGTTTTTCCAGTTGTGGAAATTGTCTCTGTACCATTCAACTAATATGGGAAGAATGTTGATGAGTCAAGCTGACCAGATAACAGGGAAATCCAAATATTCCACAGATATACGACTAACAACATGCTAATTGTTCTTTATGGAAGACTTTAGCCCATAATATTACAAAAAATCTAGTTTAAACTTTTTAAGTTCTTTATGCAAGACTTATTCTAGCACTAAAAAGTTATTATCTTTTTTCTTTTATGTCATGCAAATTCACTATTTAGAAAGCAGCCAATTTTATGTAAAATTCAAGTGTTACATTCAATCTCTTGAGCTTCTCATTAATTAAGCTATATATCCATTTCCCCCTTTTCCCTCTCCCTCCTCCCATCACTCCTACATCAGTGTAAAAGTCACAGTCTTACTTGTTTTCATTATTCCTTCTTTCCAAGGCACTTTGGGTCTCCAGCCTAAGTTGTGCATTTTTTCTGAACTCATTGGATATCTGAGGTCATTTGTAGGCCTGATGAAATATAAAATGCACACAGAAAACAATCTGATTATATTGCTTCCTTAATTAGACATGCAGTACCTCACACTGTCTTCCAAGGAATATTAGATATGCTTCAATTTTGAAAATTCCCACCAACATAAACAGGTTGCATTGCCTTCAAAAAATATGTGGCAGCTGAGTGCAGCTACAACAACACAATTCAGTTTGTACAGTCAACTACTTCAAATTGACTAGAATAAATATTAATTAGTATTTTACTGGCACAAAAATGAACACAAAAATCACTGCCAACGCATTTGTGCAAATCAGTGCATTTGCAACACAGAGTCAGCATTTTCTAATATTAGCATTCATGGTTTTTATCCTGAAAACCCAGAAATTTACACATACTTCAGATTTAAAACACACAGGCTTCCAAAGGGGCATCATTACAGTGGCTCATTAACTACATCAACTTAGTAATACTGAATATGTAGAGTCCCAAGCTGCAAGATTCAACACAGAAAGATATATCTGATATTTAAGCATGGCAGAAATTTTCACTTCCACAGTCTGGCAGATAGGTAGCCCAGTCTAGCATCCTGCACTACTGGCACTGGCATATTGAATAGTCAAGGTACATGTGCAGGCACAAACCAAGCACTTATCACTGTTACTGTAACATGCTAATTTGAAGCAGAAGCAGAATTAATTTTTCCATAGCAAGTAACCCCTATGACCTTTAAGCCACTCATTATAGAATTATATAGTCATAAATCAGGTATATTAACAATATTTGATAAGACCTCCACACTCCTGAAACACATACTCCTACGTGGTTAGTTTTCCCAAGCCCATTTACGTTTAAACATAAGCAGACAAGGCTCAATACACACGAAGAAATATATCAAAGTGAAATACACTGAGAACTCCTAAACACTCACATCATGTGAGCCAAAGGCAATTTGATCAAAGTCCTGTAATACATTGAGATAGGATTCTGAAGAACATTTCCTTTTAAAAACAAAAGCTAGCACATTTTTAAAGACACTTCAGTTGCTATGATAACAATCTAAATGTGATCAGAAAGTGAGAATTCTGAAGGCCATAATACTTAACTGCTATCAGTAGACACATCATTTCTAATCACTCTGGAGAGAGTGATATCTAAAGTAAGCAGAGATTCATTGTTGCTGCAGAAAAGAAATGGATATAAAAGAGCAGAGACAAACCAAGCCTGAAATTAAGGACGGAAACACACAGCAAAAGCATATCTATAAAAGCTACCCATTTTTCCACAGCCCTAACTTTGGTACCTTAGAGCTTTACATCTACTTTTGAGAGAGCAGCTTCAGCTCAAGATAGAAATCTAAAGTTAACAACACTCCACAGGCACATATTTCTGCCTGTGGAGACTGAGTCTTACTACAAAGTACATCTAAGTCTGAATTAGTCACATTCATGCCAAAATACTAAAGCTAGGCAACAGACAATGGCATTGATCTCACTCAGTGATGCTGAATAAAAAGTACACTGAATAAACTGTACAAGCTACTGTGAAGGAAAGGTTTAGTTGTTCTATAAAACTTTTCCTCTTCCCAGAGCAGACTTCAGTAATGACAAGTATGAGAATGTTTTAAGACAGAGATTAGCATTACATGCTCCCCTTCAAGACATTCATTCTGACCTACAGAATAAATGAAAGTCCTGTTTTCTATACAGAACCCTGATTATAGATATCAAATCCACTAGCAAAAAAATAAAAGAAAAAAAAGGAAAAAAAAGAGAAAAAACTTAAGGAAGCAAAACAGCTCTTACTCCCTCAAAAGTGTTCCCTCCTTTAGAGCAGAAACACTTCCACAAAAAACTATTTGGTTAAGAGTCTCAGAAAACCTGCAGGACAAAACTACCCTGCATGTGCAGACCATCCTGCACATCCTCCACATTTCTCACCTGTCTTTGACATAATCCATCCAGTGTTCCATTTCAGACTCTGAACTGGTCTTCTTTATCTGTCAAGAAGAAAAACAAGTATCACTCCCATACATCTTGGGCTATCTAAACATATATTTAAAAATCTGGGTTTTTTCTGAACAAACTTAAATCTTATTTAAAACCTCCACCAAACAAAAAAATATAAACCACAAATAAAAATGGACTTTTGTATACTGAGTCTTCAAACCACCAAAATTATCTAAAACATCTCCAACCTATCTCCTTCATCCAGAGCACTGCCAGACCATCATAATCAAACTGTTAGATTTTAACAGTGCCACATTCTCAGACTAAAATTAAAGCAGTCAGCATGGAAAAAAATGGTAATCATGATGTCAGCCAGGATATGTCCCAGTCAGGATAACTGACACAGCAGCCCAGCACAGGATAGCCCATACTGCAAACTTACACAGCCCAGCTGCCACAGAAAAGGTAGCACATCATTCTGCTGCAAGGATCTTCCAACAGCCACAAGTCTAAGCTCCTTTAGAGCTACAGAAGGTCTGTGTAATTACTTATATGTGCAATGAAAAACAGTAAAGAAAAGCATTAGAACTCTTTACTCACTAAATGAATTAGCTCCTTAGCAAGCTGGGCAATGGACATCTCAAAGTTAGTTCCAATGTTATAAATTTCACCTGGCTTCCCCTCCTTCAGGACAGTAAGGAATGCTTCTACTACATCAGTTGCATAAAGGAAATTCCTTCTCTGAAGTCCAGAACCATGAATACAGCTTAAGATAAGAAAAAGACAAAAAAAGTATTTTAGTTCTCAAATAGACACATTCCATTTACTGGACTGTTTTTAGCAGTTTTGCTGTTAGATGGGTGCCTGAAGGTACCTTAAGTAGCTGACATGCAAACAATCCTTTACTTTAAGGAAATCCTGCTATTAAGTGATTCAGAACTTTGTTATGTAATGATCATTTTACAAACAAGCACATATTTATAACTGCAATTACAGTTTTATAGCAGAAATGCTACCAAAAAATGTGAGTTACCTACCATTTTCTGTTCTGTTGCAACAAAGATATAAACTTTGGAATAACCTAAGGAATTGAACAACAACAAAAAAAATTACTCCACTATTTTAGAAGCTGTTATTCTACAAAGAACAAGGAATTCAATGGTTATGAAGCATTAAGTATTTTAATAAGATCCTTTAAATACTTCTAAGTTTTATTAAATATAGTGAAAGAATATATCAAGCCTAGAAACTGCAAGGATTTTGGTTTGTAAGAGTACATGCCTTTACTGTATTGTAAGCCTTATCTTTCTGGTTGTTACAAATGTAACATTTTTCAAAAATAAAAGAAGTTTCCATTACTTTTGCACATGGCAGTGAATCACAATCTAACTAGAAATATTATCAACAGTTCAGAATAAGGTTTAAACATCCAACGAATTGCAGTAATTCTAGAAACAAAAAGTTGTAAAAGTAGTTAAATTTGGAAGAGAATCAACAGAGAATTTTAAGATTACACAGATAAACACAGATCAAGTGACAGTGTGCTCACTACACAAAGATTTACATTATGTTCATCTAAAAGCTTAGATCCATTCATAATGCCCCAGATACTTCAGAACAGTTACCCCCACTATTAAAGTCCTTAAACTGAAGCCACCAGAAAACTACTCAAATTACTTAAATTTAACTTCCTGCTCTAAAGACAGGAGCAAAATACTAGATAAAAGGTTCATGTAGCCTAGTGCTGTGTTTTTAGCAGTAACTACAATTTGCTATGCAAAGAAGAATAAATGTAAGTCAAAAGCCAGCAAATACATCCCCTAATATACCCCCAAAAATCATGCAACGTGTAGCAAGACACAGATCAACGAAAAATGTACTGTAAAAGCCATTCTTATCCACCTGCAATAATGCATGTGAAAATAAATGTATTTGCAAAAAAAAAACCCACAAAAGGTAAAAAGCAATTTAAAAACAGCTCCATAGAACTGTAAAACATAAGCTACATTTTCCACCAGTTCCAAATTCCAAAAAGTACTTGTGATGATCACTTTCATTTCAACAGTGTATTTCCATTCACTAAACAAGCAGATTCAGGTATTGACTTAAAAAGGCAACTCCTTCTCACAAATAACTGTTTTAAATAGTCACCTTGCAATGTCTGTATGAACACAGGCAAAAACCAAGTCACTTCACACTACTTCTCACTTTATATATGAACGCTACAGCTCCATCTTACTTATTTTCTGTGCAGGCTGGAACATCCCTTTCTATATCAGACATTGAATTCTCAGTTTACTTTTTGAAATGTTTCCCTTAGTTATTGAACACTCACAATTACAAAACATGACATAAGTTAATGTAATTTGTAGGGGAACTCTGTCAAAATATCCTTTGAAAAATAGAAAAATTACAAAACAAAGTTGCTGTCATAAAATTCATTTAAACTACAAGTCTCTAATTGAAGTTAGACCAAAAATTGTGCTCAGGGTAAGACACATTAGTGCACGCTCAAAATATATAATCACATTAATTGTAAGAGTGCTTTTTTCAAAGCACTCTTCCACACACTTTTTCATCCCATGCACATGAGAAAAAAGTAACATCACTGCAACCCTGATTTCTGGTACAGTGAAGCTCGAGTAAAGCACAGTTTAACTTACCTTTTCTGGATACTGATGGGGTCCATAAACATTACTGCTCCGTGTGATGACAACTGGGAACTGGAGAGCATTAAACATACACGTGATTACATAAGAAAGCATACACCAGTACAAATCTGTACCTTCCTGCTGATCAACAAACAAACCAACATATGCACAGTGCTTGCACAAAAATCTGCAAGCCCTTACAAACGTTACAAGCCCTTACAAACTGAATTAAGCTCTCTGTATTTCTGTCAAAGAGGTAAAGGCCTCCAGCCTTCTCAGCCTGTCAGGAGCACCACCAGGGACAAATGTTTGAAATCTCTCTAGCTCTGGAAGCACCGCAGGACATTCATATGTGTTTCTGATTGACTGAAGACTGGCTTACTCCTACTTATGCCAATATGTTTCACAGGTCATTAACATCCTGTTCTTGTTCACTTTATAGCAAAAACATCATATATCAAGAACAGAAGTATAAAGTATCCAAAATATGGATAAATGTGTTTGCTTAAACAAATCTGACTAGCAGGGATTTTTCTTGGGTTTTGGGTTTTTTTTTGCTTTAACCATAAGCCTAGTCTTGATGCAATTTGAATTACGCATGTTCTACAGCTGTGTAATACTTTTGTATTCCTGCAAGCTTAGCACTGATTTTTAAATTCCTAATGTTCTCTTTGACCATTTTATCAAAGCACATTTTTAGATATTACAGTTCAGATTTAAAAAACAAAACTTAAAAAACATTTGATCTGTCCCCACTGTCTTGCAGTGTATCTTCATAACTTATTGAGGGAGATTCTCTAACACATTTGAACTACAAGACTAACAATAAGGAAAGAGGTGGCACTGTGAGGACTGTACTGATTTTTCTTTTATACACTTACATACAAAATACAAACACTAAATTACAAGCTTCAGAGTTTTTGAAGCTTCCATGGACTTACTTGGTACCTTTCCCAGTAAGACTGAACAAAACACTCTGCAGCTGCTTTAGAGGAGGCATAGGGATTGGTTGGACGTTTTGGTGAGGATTCATCAAATTCCTACAATGAAAAGAAAAATTTGCATTGCTCAATTTCTTTTGCCCAGAGAAGCCTTAAAGTTACAAAAGAAATAAAAATCCATAAATATCCAAGCATATCAGCCTAACAAAGTCCCCTTACAACAGAAGACCATAACAAAAGACAGTCTATTTACTGAACATAGGAGACAGACAGAGTACCAGCAGTAATATTTTTATACTTGTAACAGAGTTACCTCACAGCAGCAGGTCCTCAGATTTTTATCTTATTAAATAATTACTGTTGCTAGAGAGGCTTAATATTTTTCACCTCTCTGAGGCCATATTGCCTCAGAGAGCAATTAGGCCACCATTAGCAAATTCACCTTTCAGCCCTAAATAAAAGAGGTCTTTTCTTAAATTTTTGTGTAACTTTATTTCTGTAAAAAATGTAGAATTGCAACCCAAAAGCTTCCAAAGCAAGGCTTCAACAATTCTGACCAGTTCCAGAACAGGTATCTTCCAGACTATCCTGACACTTTAATCTATTTCTCACTTGAAGAGAGAAAAAAAACAAACCCAAAGAAGGAGGATACTAGCCAAGGTGTGATTGGTAACAATCACCTTAACGTGATTAAAACACTCACTGCTCTTGTCTGACCTTTGCCTCTGAAATTAAATGGCCTTCCTCCCCTCAAAAAAAACTCTACAAGAACTTCTAGTGTGACACACAAAGAGAAGAAAAAAAGATATTAAAGTTCTCTTTTCAATGCCCAGAGACAGAAAAAATTCACTTGAAGGTATCAGCCAAGCCACGGGTCTACACACAAGAAAATATCATTCTTAGGTATCACAAAAGCTACAGATGGAAGCTGTGTTGAAGGAAATTATAAAGATACTGTGATAATGAGAAAGTGCATAGAACTCTTCTGACATACATTAATATTTCCAGGGACTATGGCAAAAGGCTCCTTGACTTTATTTATGCCTTTAAAAAGATGAACATGCATAATTTGCCTTTTTACTGAGCTAAATTATATTTCCTGAATTAAGGTCAGGTATAAATTCTCAAAAATCAAAGATGTGCACATAACAAGAAGAAACATCTGAATATTTACTACAGTAATACAGGAATTGTTTTCTATTTGAACTATCACTGCCTACACCTCTGTTAATATCTTAGCTAGAATATAAAGCAGTTCCCCACCTGTTAAGCTGTGCACATTACTGAAGTCTCATGAATGCTCCAGGACAAAACCTGTACAACACACTCCTTTGATACTATCTCTGAGTAGTGACACCATTCATGACCCAAATCTCACAATAAACACTCAACATAAAACAAGCTATGAAAAAAACAAAAACACCAAAAAAAAGCCAAACAAAAAACCAAACAAAACAGGACAATTTTGATACTCAGCTTTCTAGAAGCTACCAGTGCTTACTTAAAGTCAAACATTTACAGAGGCCAAGGAAAGTTAGACTCAACTTTGTTTTCACTATTAAAAGCAGGTAAACTAGAAAAATCCTCACGTATTTTCAAACTCACCTCATCAGTGCTACCTCCATATACTTCATCTGTACTAACATAGACAAATTTCTCCACATTGGCTTCATGTGCAGCAGCAACCAGCACGTTGGTGCCATAAACATTCACGTAGGTGAATTCCAGGGCATGCCAAAATGAAAGATCTACATTAAAAAATACAGACAATTCTGATTAAATTTACAAGACAAGGGCTATAAATTAAATTTAGCAAGACAGGGCTATAGGTTCCACTTGAAGGCTGCAATATAGACCTGTCAGACAGCAAGGTCCTTATTAAATGAAGGCACCTTCTACACTTCCTTGAAGACAAAAATCCTTGTTCTCAACAAGAGGCTGGAATCATGGATTTTTTTAATCTAAAATAGCATTGGCTAAGTACAGTAAGAAAAGTGTCATTCAAAGACAGCTGCAAGATGCAGTAATATGGACCAATGACTAATAACTCAGCAGCAGCTGTTTTGATTCTCACCACTGTTCCCTGACCTAATGACTTTGTGCCTATCAAATATGACAATTTCAAGAAGTATTTTCCTGGAGAATTCTTTGAGGATTTCTTCTCATGATGGATGGAGTATGGTGGGGATTGTTCTTACTAACAGTGATACTGAAAAGCAGCCATCTGAAATATGCACTTTATATTTCATTCTCTCTTTTTAGCATGGAGACAAGATTCCAATGCGATTTATGCCTAATCCTTCAGGTTTCACACTGTTTCTTCATGTGACATTGGAGCCAATTAAGTGAAAACTTCAAACTATGTACAAAGCCCCTCTCCACTGTCTTTATGACTCCCTCAGTACACTGTCAGCAACATGTCAGTCTAGACAGAATTTAAAAATGCAATGCAGACAAAAAGGTACATTACCATTTATATGCAATGAAAGCAAGACAACAGTTAGATTAAGAACTTTTTAAATCAAGGCTGTGAATCCCTCTTAGTTAAAAAGGACACCAGATGCTCAGTCATGTGATTTGTAGAGACAAATTGGATCCTTGATTTATATGAAGGGAAAAGACAAAAGGTATACTGGCACATATTTCAAGCAGGTATAGCCATGGAAAACAATACCAAAACATGCAGCAATGCTCACCTACATGTGTTTGGGCTGCAAAATGAAGCACTATATCTATTTTCTCAGTTTCAAAGAGCTGCTTTATAAAATCAGGTTCACAAATATCCCCCTAAACAGGAAAGAAAAAAAAAGGCAAATTATTTTTGATAGAAAATAGTCAGCTTCCCTTTACACCAAGTGTCACATAAGAAACCATTACAAAGGGAAAATAGGATACAAACAGCACCATCAACTGAGCTCTGGGCCACTTATCAATGCCATGTCTAAAATACACAAAACTTCACCAATTTTTTAAAAAATCCTAAATGAAACTTATTTCAGAATTTATATTATTATTAACATTAGAAATAGCAATGAGTCAAAAATACACACAACAAAAGTACAGCGTGGAGCTCCAACACTGAGGCTGAAATTCCAAGTTTCCAGAGCAAGCAAGAGTTCCCAGTCTGGCAAGCTGGCAGGGACATCTAGTGGTACTGCAAAAGGAGAAGCAGATTCCCACTAAGGGGGATTAGATTATGTCTTGCAAGGGCTTTGCTGTTTGCTGTTTATTTGGGTGATTTATTTTTTAATTGACATATTTTTTTAAGAGATATTATTTTGAACTAAATGGCTAGTTACTGATTTTTTTTAAAGCTTAGTACATGTATGCTGAACAGCAACAGAAATTATGATTAAAACATATCTTTTATACAGCCCCTGAGGCAAATTTTCTAAACTTACTGTTCTACTTTCCAAAACAGACTTCCTTTCTACAGTACCACTAGAGAATACATCCTCGTTCAAAAGTAGTATAGCCACATCATTCTTAGTTACTGCCCCCCTGCTTCACACTGGGATCTGCTGTTTAAAGGATATCTTGTAGAACTCCATGCTCTCCCCAGCAATTAAATGTTAATTTCTCCTCAGGTAACAAGGCTTTTATGCTGCATTCATACATTTCATATTGCTGGAAACAATCAAAGACCTTAGGAAAATAACCAAAAAGCCACTTTGGTCATGTTGAAACTGCACACACGTGCAGGTCTACATAGAGGCTGTGCCTTTCCTCTCAGGCAACTTTTATCCCAAAAGCCCAGATATAATCTCCATACTGAAATAAAGAGGTGGTGCACAAAAACATAAACAGCCATGGGGGTCACAAACAGGTCAGGGCAAGTTCAGCTTCCAGCCTCACCTGAATCTAAGGAAAAAGGCAAGTTGACATCTACTACATCTGAGAAAGGTGCTGTTTCAGCAAACTGAGCTATAAGCATTTCTCAGATGTCCTGCAACCTTGGGCAGACCCCAAGACAGAGAGATGAGCATCAGCATGGCCTGTTGTAGACAGGAGGAACCTCAGCATACAAGCCCAAATATTGATCTGAACAATAAATCAAAATCCATCTCCTGTCTGAAGACAAAACTGTGGAAGCAGTACACCAGAAATCTGTAAAAAGTCACATTTTGTGGAAGGGAAGGTTCTATCACCTGGATAAACTTGTAGTTCTCCTTCCCAGAGACAGTTTCAAGATTCTTCAAGCTTGCACAGTAGTCGAGCTAAAGAGAAATACCACACAACATCAGTGAGTGGGCTTCATGGAAGCAAAAAGGCTACTCAAACCCAACCTAACCACTGGAAAGTCTAAGAATAAAGTAAAAACTTATTTTAAAAAAATCTACTTCACAAGCAGATGTGAAGCTTTAAAAGCACAAATCTCCAAAAGATATCCTAACTGCAAAAATTCTTAAACAGATGTTTAGAGCTTGAAAAGTTTTGTTCTTTGTCTGAACACTAGTTGACTTTTTTTTTTCCACAGAACAAATGGAAAATCAAACAAAAATTAGTAACTAACAATAAGCCATATACATTTCAACATATTATAAACTGCATTATAAATCACTTAAAACAGTTGTCCATACCAAGAAAGAAAACAAGGTATTACCTTATCCAGATTTATAATCAGATAGTTTGGATAGTTTTTCACAAGAGAGACGACTACATGTGAAGCACTGCAGGACAGAAGAAAAACATATTTTACAATTATATACTTGGCTTTAAGGTAATGAAGAGATGACAAATTCCAAATAAATTCAGCAATATCAAAAGTTTTGGGGGAAGAAGAGGATATATTCAAGACAAATGGAAGAAAAATTCAAAGATATTTTAACACATCAACTTTATTCTAATATATATTCTATATATTATTCTAATTTTCTATGTGTAAGGTTAAGAAACTAAAAATCAGAACAAAAGTTCATCCTATAAGGAAAGAAATCAGCACTGCCCACAGTCACATAAAAAACCAAAAAAAAACTGTTATAGGCTATATTCATGTGCTACTGTAAAATATTTTTGCAATGTAAAGCTTACATATTAGGTATCAGGGAGAACCAAGCAGCCAGCACTCCTAACCCACGACAGTGACTGCCATTACCCACGTCTCTGACACTGCTGCTAGGTGTAAGAGACAACCAGGTGGCACTGCCCCTTTGGCACGGTCTTGTGCACATGAAACTCATTCTGAGAGTTCAGGTTAGTTCAGGGTTATTCACACACAGAAATTTAACCCTCTCACAGCTTCCACACACTGAGGAGCTCAAGTTTAATTCGGGCCAGACCCTTCTCTGACTCGAAGTGAGCCCACAGCACTGGGGGTTGACTCAGGAAATAACAGCTGGCTCGAAGCCCTGCCACCTTTAACCCAAAGAATCCACTGGGCTGGAAAAGACCCGAGATCACCAAGTCCAACTTACGACCAAACACAAGGGTTGACCCCTTATTAACCAGACCATGGCATCAACCCCAAGTCCAGTCGTTTCCTGAACATCTGCAGGGACAGCGACTCCTGACCTCTCTGGGCAGCCCATTCCAATATCTAATCATCTTTTCTATGAATAAATCCTTTCTGACGTCCACCCTAAACGTCCGCAGGCGCAGCTTAGACTGTGTCCTCTCGTCCTGTCATTTGCTGCCTAGAACATTGTGGGATCTCAGTCTCTCAGAACTGGGGGGCTCGGGAGTCCTGGAATGTTGCCAGAAATGTCTGGTGGCTGGACTTTGATCCCACATCGGAGATGACATCAGTATGAGGACGGGAGGATTTCACTGGGGTGAATGGTGAAGGGATAAGTTAATTGGAGTGTGAGATACAGGGTTTAAGATCCCTGTACAGGGGGGTCTAGAGAGGCAAGATGGAGGTACTGGGGCATGCCCTTCTCCTTCTTCTTCTTCCTCTAGGCCTCCATCTTCTGTGGTGATGTTGGCACTCCAGGATTGGACCTTACTAGGGGAACACTGGTTAATAAGAGTAGAGGGTATTGGAGAAAAATGATAAATATTGTATACGTAACTCCGGGTATAAAGATAGGTGGCCGCCCCAGGGGCTCTCGGTGTGTGCCCATGGCTGACTGCTGAGCAGAACTCTGTCAGGCCAAGAGAAAATCTTTTAGATAAGCAATTAATAAACACCGAGACCGAGAACAAATCTGAAGCTTCCTCTCGTCCTTTCGAACCCGGGGGCCCAAGGCCATCTTTGGGCTTTTCCCAGACCATCTAAACAGCACCAAAATCCAACAGAACATGAGGCTAAGCTATCTATCTCCAGGGGTTCAACTCCTCTTTCAGGAAGCTGAAAAGACGATAAGGTTGTTTCGCCGGAGGCTCCAGGCAGAACAAGCCCAGCTCCCTCAGCCGCTCCAGGCAGAGCAAGCCCAGCTCCCTCAGCCGCTCCTCACAAGGTTTGTGCTCCAGGCCCTTCTCTGCCTTCCTCTGGGCAGCCCCGGCCCGGCCGAGGCCGAGCACGCACTGCCAGCGCCGGGCGGTCCCTCCATCTCCTGGCCGGCCGCAGGGAAGGCGGACGGGGCTTCCAGCTTGCCCCCCGGCACTCACCACCTCCGAACCCAGACACGGGCGAGCCACCAGCGGCCCCTGAGGGAGCGCGGCCCGAGCCAGCGGCGCCGAGGAACCGGCCCGGGATGGACAAAGGGCGGCAGCACCGCGGGACCCCCGCCCGCCAGGTCTCACCCGCGCCCCCGGACAGGAGGCCGGCGGCCCCCCGCTCCCCGCTCCGGCCCCGCGTGCTCACTCACATGAAGCCGGCGCCGCCCGTCACCAGGACTCGCTTCTCGAACGGCGGCGGCGCCGCGGGGCCCGCCCGCCCCGACATCGTCCGCGCTTTACGGCACCGGCCCCTCGCTCCCTGTCCCCCACGGCTGCGCGTCAGCGGCACGGGCCCGGGGGCTTCACGGGCAGAGCCGCAGCGCCTGCAAGGGGCTCATTGAAAGATCGCCTTCCTCGCTCCCCGCGCGGCCCCAAGAGCGGAGCTGCCACCGTCTCGGAGGCCACCGACAGCGGGGCGGGGCGGCGTGTGAAAAGGGCCAATATCCGCATTCATATATAAAAGTGCCACCTCCGCATTCAGCGGCAACCGGTGGCCGTCTCTTTTACGACTCTGGCTCTTTCAACTTACGGCCGGACCTGGCAACGGGACACGTTGCCGCAGGGGCGGGGCCTGGCTCTCGGTCTCACCCCCAGGGGCGGGCGTGTTCTGTCATTGGCTCTCTCGCTGCTCGCGCCGAAGGCGGCGGGGGGCGTCACGTGACGCGGCGGGGCCGCGCGGGAGGGGGGCAGGAGGATCCCGGCGTCCGGCGGCTCCGGGGATGCGGTGGCGGCTGCTGTGGCTGCTCAGCGCCGCCGCCGCCGGCTGCTGCTGGGGCCTCGCCGCGGGCAAGACTCTGCGGGGCGGCTTCACCAGCTCCGCCGCCCGCCGGGAGCCGTGGCGGCCCGTGGCGCACTTCCAGTTCCACGGTGGGTGCCCCGAGGGCGGGAGAGCGGGGCAGCGGCGGCTGTGCCGCCCTGGAGCGGGGCCGCGGGGAACGGGGCGGCTCTCAGGAGCCGTTGGGGCGCGGGGGGACCGGGGGCGGCCGGAGGGACCCCGGGGTGCGGGGCGGGGTCAGCCCTGCAGCTCTCCGTCTTTCCCTGCTTCTCTCCCTCGCACTCTCCCTCCCTCTTTTCCCCCTTCTCTCTCCGCCCCTGCGGGACGTGCAGCAGGTCCGATCGCTGCCCGGGCAGCGCCGCAGCGGGGCCGGGGGTCCCGGCCGGCAGCAGGACGTGGCCGGAGGCGGCGGGGCGGCCCCAGGCGCAGCAGTTGGCAGCGGCCCCTCCCCGCTGTGGCTCCCGGAGCGGAGCAGAGCAGCACCGTGCCTCCCTTCGGGTCCCCGGGCCGTGCGGGCACTCCGGCCGGCTGTCCCGGAGAGCGGGGATGCTCTCGCTGCCACACGCATCGCTCCTTCCCGCTGGGAACTGCCCCAAATGGCAGCGGTGCTTCACGTCGCTGTGTGGTCTTGGTGACCCCGCGCATCAGGATGTAAAATTCTCACCTGGTTGTTCCCAATGGCTTTTCTTTCTCGTGTTAAAAACTCCTTGTTAGTAATAATTTCTGAATGTTAGTCAGTAATTACTTAGTAATAATTCATGACCACTATCCTGCTGAAAGAGCCCTAGCAGTGGCCCGCGGTGCTTGCTAGAGAAGTTTTACTTTACATAAAGAGATGTGTGCAGCCATGACAAGTGCCGTGTCCAGCCAGGCTGTGCTGGTCAGCCTGCTTTTCCTTTGTGCTCAGCACTTCAGTTGCTTAGGCTGTTTTTCTTTCCCATTGAGCTTCGTGGCAGAACAGTTCTGCACATGCTTCAAAATCTAACGGGAAACAGGAGAACGTGACATAAGCAAAACAGAGTTGGAGCATGACCTTCCAGTGCTGAATGAGGAATGATGGATAGGGTGGAGGTAGCTTATGAAGTGACTTGAAAGCAGTTAATTAGCGCTGTCCTAGAAGTTAACTGTACAAGTGCTCTAAATAGATCTGAAGGAAAAAAGTGCACTGTTTAAATCTGAGAAGAGACTGTCAAAATTGAAGATGAGTGGTGTAGGTGTTCAGATATAATTGTATAAATTGATGTTGCATATTTGCATAGAAATTCTTCTCTTCCTGCGTGAATATCAGCAACTGTTTTGGGTCTTAGTGAAGCCTTCTTTAGAACTTTCTGTTAATATTTCAAAATCTTAGCTAAACTGTAGTTCATATAACATTTTACTGACTTTTCTTCTCCACTAAATTCTACCTTTTAATTTAGGAGACTCCTAGGTTAAAAAAGTCTATGACTCTAGTCTTCTACACTAGAAGACTAGTCTTCTTTCGTATTTTAGTATATGAATGAAATTATGAAAACAAGTTTGAGGGTTGTGGAATTACTCAGGCAAGATAAATTTTGTTAAATGAGCTAGTTCTAAAAGGACCAAAATATTTCTGTGCCTCAAGATGCAGCCTACAGTGTCAGGACAAGGGGGAATGGTTTCAGACTGAAAAAAAAAAGTAGGTTTAGATTAGATATTAGGAAAAAATATTTACAGTGAGGGTGGTGAGGCACTGGAACAGGTTGCCTAGGGATGTTGTGGATGCCCCATCCCTGGAAGTTTTTAAAGACAGGCTGGATGGGGCTTTGTGCAACCTGATCTAGTGGAAAGTGACCCTGTCCACAGCAGGGAGGCTGGAAACTAAGTAGTCTTTCAGGTCCCTTCCAACCCAGGCCGTTCTGCCATTCTCTGATTCTACAGCTAGACTGACATATTAGAGAACATTTGAAGTTTGATTTTCTTTGCATCAATTTGACATCGATCTTTCATCTATAATTAAGTATTTTAGCTCTAATCCATCCATAACGTGGAAGTCCATTCACATAAGTTCTTCTGGTGTTGGACTTAGGAGCTACCCTGTGATGCTCATAGTCATGCCACAGAGATCATAAAATACTAGACTTTGAACAAGGTATTGAGACTACTGAGGCAGTGTCTTTAACTTGAAAATAATAAAATTTGGGGTGGGAGGGAGGAAGGGAAAAAACATTATCTGGAAGTCTGTTTTTAAAAAGAGGGAGGAGTGAAGGCTGTTTGTAGTACTGAAGGTTACTGACACTTCTGCTATAGTTAAGGTTTGTTTAAGGACCATCACAGACAATTGTACGTTCACTGGTTTCTTAATGAGAGACATAGAAATTGTTTCTGAAAGACCATAAATACTTCTAGCAGGAAGTAGAGGTAAAAAATTAAGGCTAATATGAAGCTGTGTTGCAGCTAAGTACAAGGAAAATCTGTGCTACACTGTTTGCTTGTAACTGACATCAAGACAGAATAGTTGATTTTGTTTTTTATATATTAAGGTGACCATGCTGTTCTGTGTGTCAGAATCAAGAATGTAGCAGTAGCTGTGGCAAAAGCAGCTAGACTTCACCTCTTTCAAGCACAGGAATGGCAGAAGCTGGAGAACAGTGTCCAAGACCACAGCTGTACAGAGAAGTTCTCTAAAGCTCAGCTGACAAGTGAGTTACTGGGGTTTTTTTCTCCTTACAGCATTACTGTGTATTTAGAACTCTGTTATCTGTGTGTTTAGAATATTCATTTCAGTGAATTTGGACTTTGCATCAACTAGGACTTTGGCCTTCTACAATTAAAATTACTACAAGGAAATAAAATTTCTTTGTATCACTTCAGAAGAATTTGTTTGCAAGTTATGATTTAATGTGCTGCTGGAAAATGAAATCTATGACAAACAATGGCTTTAGTGGAAACAGCCAAACTTTATGACCAGTTCCAGTTCATGCTTTCACATGTTCACAACTCAGAAACGGTACATACTTGGCTGAAGTTTTCATTTAGTCATTCAGTACAAAGAATTTTTTTTAGCTCTGCTTGGAGTAAATGTCTTTCTTTTTGTTTGTTTTTTATTTTAATCTCGAATTATCTATAAAATAGATTATCTTGGGTATGAGAGAGAATTTACAAAGAGTAGCCTTGTACTAAGAAACTGAAGAACTAAAGAAGCTGAATGTTTGGGACAGTCAGATGTGTGACTTGTTTGAGGTGTGACTTGTTTGAGTTTGAATTGTGACTTTCATTGCAGTGGAATGAAAAACAAACTAGAGGCAAAGTGATGGAACCTGCTGCAGTTGCCTCTAAACTTCTGAAGCAAATGCTTGTAAGGTGGGAGCGTGTAGGCCAAGTACAAAGTAAAAGGGTAATTTTGTACCTGTAAACCTTCTCTTTCACTACCTCATGATAAATCTTTTTTCTCTACAAAAATTAATCTGCATCATGCTACCTTACTTTATAACTTTCCTCTATTATAACTTAATGCTATTTCACCCTTTACTTTTATAACTTGATATTTGTTACTGAATCTCACATTCAGCAGTTTTTAATGTTTGAGCTAAGAGTTATACCAGTATAGATTATGTAGATTGTCTTTGTCTCTTGTTTACAAAGGAACGTTTCCCACTTGTCAGGAGGCTCCCATTCTCCAGTTCCATGGAAATGGCATTTTTCAAAGCAGAGAAAATAAAAATAAAATTATATTTTCATGATAGCACAAATTTGTCATGCTTCGATGTATAAAACATGCTAGAAAAATTTTAATACAGTATTAAAAATGAACTAATCAGGATAAAGCTTAACTTGAGTATCCATCTAAATGTGAAAGAGCAGTAAAACACTGAAGCATTGAGTTATGTAACTAGAAGACAGACTAAAATAATTTTTGCGCCATTTGTTTATCATAATGGTATTTAAAGCATAAATTTTCCTCTAAGAAGTTAAATTAGTATTAGATGCTTCATTCAAATGTATTTAAAAGAGAAGCTGTAGTCACTTAAAATACATTTCCTTTGTGTAGTCAGAATCTCAAGAGTAACAGATTGATCATTTGTCTTAATGAAACCTTACACAGAGGTCACTTGTAGGGATGTGGTTTCCTTACCCTTCATCAGAGCTGCACAAAAGTGCTGCTGGAATAACTGGCAGTTGGTCTGTCATTCCTGACTTGTCCCAGCAGTGTACTCACTGTTTTCTGCTCCCTTAGGAGTTGTGTGACCACAGGATGAGCTGGATCTCTTTGCTGATCTTGGGCAAAATCAGTTACTTTTCTACCTCTGAGTCTGCTTACAGATTTGAGAGGGAACTGACTAAACACACTCTGTGTGATCTCTTACTCTTGGTACAAATAACATTGTGAGAACTCAGCTGAGAGGTGACATGGGGAGTAAAGCCACTCCTGTCTGCCACAGTTTGCCTCTCATTTGGATTAAGCACCATATGCAATACTGGTTTGTATGTCATCCAAATCTATACCTCATGACAGTTGCTGCAAGGACACATACACTGCAATTCTTCCTGGATTCTGATGTTGCTTAGTTCATACCTTAAGAGAACAGAAAATTACTTCTTGCAGTTGAAACACGTTTATTGGAATGACATTGAAGTTTTTCACAGGTGGGCTTCAAGTTAGAAACTTGTTCTAAATTTTGTCTACAAAATATTTAAGGAAAATGAGGTTGTATGTTTGCAGCTCTTATTTAAAAAGGCCTTTCACAAAAGAAAACATGTTTTGTGGATTTTTTATATTATTAAATTTTTCTTCATCCTTAGCCATTGTCATCTTTATCTATTAAGGTGAATTATTGTTATTGTTACTTCTCCTGCAGAGAAATTATTGAACTGATTAGCACTTCAGTTCAGTAGCCAATTTGACAGTGCTTTTGTTTCTTGCAGTTTCAGCCAAACATAGGGAGCCGCAGGTTTCATTTACATCAAGAGTTTGTTTTGAAGAGACTCTGCTTGGTTAACTGTTGTTTTTAGGCAAAAATAGTGGTGAGATAGCAAGAAGATGAAACATGAGTATCTTATGTAGTCATTTTTAAATGTAATCTGATTTGAAATATGCAGTTTAATTACATAATGGTTTCACATCTCAACTGTCAATTGAAATTCAGTATATTACAGTTTGGGTAAGATACTGTGAAATAATACTTATTTGCACCTTTAAAGCATGCATGGTGTTGTTTACTGAGCTCACATGCAGCTGTTCTTGTTTGGTGCTCTAAATCTCTTCGAAAGCAAAGTCAAATAAATTTCAGAAAGGTATTTTTCATGCTGCAGAAGTACCTGGTGGGTAGTACAGAACAGCTAATCCTGTCAATACAGAACTAGAGGATGGAAATGTGCTAAGCAAAGGACATAGTTTGCACTTGCTGGCTTCTAGAAGGAGGGAGCCCTCCCAGCAGAGCTGAAAGTTGGGGTGCAATGTCCTCCCCACCTCTTGCCCACACCTACTTGAAACAAAAGCTGAAGTTGGAGGTCTGATCTCTGGTGTTATGGATAGCTTTCAAAACTCACTATGTCTTCTACTGTATGTAGTTTATAACCCGTATATGATGCTGTGGATTTAAGTTTTCTCATCATTCAAACATGTGTTTTCTAAAACCAAACTAATCAAATATTTACTCCTATTTTTGTTTTTTGTGCTTTCTTCCAAAGTGACTGTGAACCACACAGAGCAAAATCTGACAGTGTCCCAGATTCCTTATCCGGAAACATGGTATGTGTTTTATGTAGACAAGTTTACCTGCGAAGAGAATTATTCTGAATCCGAGGATATTCAGTTTGAAATGATCTTACTAAACCCAGATGCAGAAGGGAATCCATTAGATCACTTTAGCGCAGGGGAATCTGGTAAGATTTTTTTTCTTAAAATTAGATTTGTAAATTAAGGATCTGATAATTCAAATCAGTGCTTACTGTGCTTGGAAGAGTATGGGGAATGGATAGCAGAGCCTCTTATATTTCATATTCTGGTTTTGTACAAATAGTAAACTTGAGTTCATTTTCTGTCATCACAGAAAAATCCTTTCCTTTCCCTAGGCTGACTTTCCAAAGCTTGCCTAACTAGAAGTGTAGATGCACAAGGAAAGTCAGTGTTAAAATCCTTGTGGACAGGTATTTTGAACATGTTGAAATTGTAATCTTCCACTTGAATGTAAACTTAATACCTGATTTTAATTAATTAGTGAAATTCCTTAAATGTGTGAATCTTGAATCTCTGCAACATGAGTACATGCACGGTAAACCATTTTGCCAGTACAATTTCAGTTCAGTGTTGAGATCTTTATAAGTATCTTAGTCACAGGCTGTATATTAGCTTTGTCAGGCCTGATTTTGTTATAATTAAGACACGTAATTTTAAATCTTTAAGCATCCAAAGAAAAACTCAAGAGAGCAGCTAAAGAAATGCCTGTATAAAATTGTATGCTTTGGACAATCCAGCTTAATGTATTCTTGGTTGCAGTGAGTAGCATCACTGCTCTTTGAGGTGTTGAGGCCTCATCAACATGTCACTCACCTGGGTCTGTTGTGAGGAAAGGGCTCTGAAGGCTTAGACTGCCTTCCTATACAGAGTGAGCCTGAGTATACCAAGGATGAGCCTAATTTCTGTGCTGGAATCAAATGTCCTGCTGTCACTCATGACCTCAAGAGAATATAGAGGCAACAACGGCAGATCCATTTTTGAAAGAAAAAATACTCACTGGAATAATTAGCAGAATCTGCAAGAAAGTAGCACATTAATAATCTGGATTTCAAGGCTCATGATAAGACTTAACCTCTCTATTTAACTTCTTAAGTTCTATAAACTTGCTGGTTTTTATTTGGTGAATTTGGCTTTCAGAAGTGAATTCTAGGTTAATTTACTTAGTCTCAAAGAGGAGTGATAGCTAAAGGAGTAATTGCTAAATCAAGGGGCAAAGCAGCTACATGGCATCATATGGCCCAATAAAGGGATGTAGAGACCTCCTACATCACAGAGGCATCTCAGCTCTGTATTAATTTTATAGGAACACTGAGCACTGGGAAGCAGAACTCTAAACAGCTTATGTGCTGAGTAAGAAGGTGTGTGAATGTGCTGGATGTATGTATTTAGGTCTTACAAGAAGGAAGCAAGGTGAGCTGTGCATGCCATGTCTTTCAGAGTTGCAGAAGAACACTTCTGTTAATTCAGAATTAAAACCTGCATTGTTGTCATGAATCCTGATGCTATGTGCACTGGTCTACTTTCAAAGAGCTGAGGAGCATTTCATCTCTCTGTCTTTCTCTTTTATAATTTAATTTAATGCATCTCTGGGAAATAATCTTTGCCATTTTTCCATAGAAACTTAGAATGAGAGGGTATCAGAGAGAAGATCCAGCTTCATTTCTTGCATATTTCATGCAGGCAACTAAAAATTACGTAACTGCAGAAGGTTTTACTTAGGTTTTCCTTCACTTTAATTACTTTAGGCTGTGGCTTGGCACAGAACATCTCAAAAATTAAATTAATAGTAAGGAAAGCATGAGAGAGAACTTAAGGCCTGTGATTACAACATTTGCCTTCAGAGATGAGGGGGCCTGACTTCTGATCCCTGGCAAATAGTCTTATTTTATATGGTAGGGTCTTCTACATAAGACATTGTGTCAGTGGAATCCAGGGTTTCTAAAAGCAGATGAACAGGTAGCATTTTGAAGAGCTTTGAAGTAAGATATTTCATGTAATATTTTACTTTGTCTGTCAGCTAGGTTCCTTGAAAGTCAGGAAACTTAGAGGAGATAGGTTGAAAGTTGTATTTTTTATTGTGGATTTTTAGTGCAGCTTTCTCCTAACCCCTTCTGGTCTCAAACCAATAATCTACACTCTGTCTATGGTTGGAAGGAGTGTTCTATCATAAATGCTTTGTCTTTGTTAAAAGCTAGTTGATTTTCCTGAAGAGTTTTCCAAGAGTTCTCACTCATCATGGTGAGAAATAACTTTTACTTATGCAGTTGTTGCCAACTTCAGTGGGTATCTTTTGAAGCAGAAAGAAAGATTTGATCTATACCACATACTTTTGTCATTGATAAATCATGCACATGTATTGGTGTACAAAAGAAGCAGAGTGGCCTGGAATTTTTAATCCTCTTCATTACCTTATGCTCTTTTTCTCCCATTTTCCTGTGTGTGTGTCCAAAATGCTTCATTTCAGTCACAGAAGTTATAATGCTAGCTACTATTCAGAACTCATCCAGTTCTAATGTTTTTCACCTCAGATATTGACACGTGTATACTTGCTCTTCCCAGTCTCTGGAGGGAGCTGGCTGGGAGCATTTACCGGTTACTTTGCTGCTGGAGAAAAAGCTTTTTTTAGAACCTGATTCTATGGGCACCACTAAATGTCATGGAAGGTTGGAGAATAAAAGCAAGTTTTCTATGAGAAGTGTTTGTTTACCTGTTTTTGCTTGTTTCTCACTGGCTTCGACCCTTTGGGAGCTCCCAGTTGGGTTGCAAAGCTTACTGACAATAGAAAAGGTTTCCAGGATCCAGGTCTTAAAGGAAGTACTTTACCTGACTACTGCCAGACTGAAAATTAGGGGACTTCTGTTTTATAAATAATTTTTTAAAAATTGGGGTTTTTTTTTTAGACAAGTGCAAAAAATGCATGCTAGGAACTAATTACTGTTTTCTGTGCTACTTTTCTTTATCTCTAAGTTTTTAGACATGATCAGCTGTGCTTCTTAAGCTGCTTTATGTGGAGGAAGGGTGACACCCAGTGGTTAAAAAGATTTAATAGAAGTCTGTTTGGGGTTTCTCTCACCTCAGATTGTGCCTTTATGGAATCAAACAAACAAGCAAAAAGAGCTAAAAATGAGTCCTTTAATAAATACGTTACTTATTGATTAAATAAGCTACAGTTGTTTTATGTGTATCAAGAAACTCTGCACTTTATACTAGTGTGGTAATTGCTGCAAACCTCTCTGCTCAGAAAAGGTATTGTTGATTAAAAACACTTTGTCAGATCAAATAATAATCAGTTATTTGATAAAATTCACTGATTTTCTTGTATAAAATTGACTAGGATTTAGATCTTTTATGTGTACTATCACTTTTGGGTAACAGTTGTTAAGAATTTCCCAATGATTGTATTAAAGGAAACCCACTATATTGGGTTTTTTTAGTTATTTATTCCTAGTAGCAGCGTTTCTTTGTAAAACTAAGCTGTATTTCTTTTTTTTCCCCACAGGATTACATGAATTCTTTTTCCTGCTTGTCCTTGCATACTTCATAACTGCATGCATATATGCACAATCCCTGTGGCAAACAATTAGGAAGCGTGGACCTATGCATGGTGTATTAAAGGTGTTGACAATTGCATTACTGTTGCAGGCTGGTTCAGCATTTGCCAACTACCTGCATTTCTCAAGGTACCTTTGATCCTTTTCTGCTTTCAGTCTTTAGACTTTAAGAACAATGTGTTGTAAAGATCAGTACATGATTTGCCTGGGAGGAGGGATTGTGGCAAAATACAGGACTGACTTTTGAACTGCATCATTATCTTAATGTACTTGTGAGAGAGAACACCCGTTTAAGACACACCCACTTAAAAATGCAATCTTTTTGTTCTTGTTTCAGTTACTCTAGAGATGGGATAGGAGCTCCTTTTATGGGAAGTCTGGCAGAATGTGAGTCTGTACCCTGTTTCTTACATATTCCTACCCATGAATCTGTATAATACATAGAAAATGCTGTTGCTAGACTATATTATATTGGATCACATAGTTTGATTTTCAATATAAAATACTAAAAATTGCTCCTTCAGAAAAAAACATGTTTTATGTGTTTACAATAACTGTATTTGAAGTTACACATCTGTGATATTGTTTAGGATTTTTCAAAGGGTTTTTTTGTCTCTAGATTCCTTGCTACGAACACTTAAAGACATGAATATCACCCGAACAGGTTTTTCAATACATTGAAGAGTTTGGGGAGTTAGTTCTAGAAAGCTAAGCTTTTTAGGAAACTTAATCATATTTTATAGAATTTGTCATTTCACTGACAAATTTAACAATTATTAAATGGAAAAGTATTTTACAGCACAAATTTTGTGATTAGCATGATGCAAAAAATGCTTATGTGAAGGTTTGATGCTAACAAAGCATTTTTCTCTACTTTGTATAGATATTCCAAGTTCTTACTGGAACTAAATTCCTGTAGCATACCTTTCCAAAATGCACTAACTTAATCTTGTTCCATTCTTCATTCTCCATTGTTGTTGGATAGTTTGGGGTTTTTTTTCCTGCAGTTCATCTTTGAAGAACTGGGGGCTCATTCCAAGCAAATACATTTCCTTTTGACTGGCTTGAAGCACCCCAAGAAAGCAGTACTGCAGTAGTGTGATAGTGTTGGGTAGTAACAGCCTATAGAGAGAAATATTCCGCTTTGTAGAGTTCATTTAGAAGGCTGCAGTTGGAATTATCAGCCTCTTGATGGCACCTGGCACCACAATAATTGCCTCTTTCTTGTTTTAACCATTTGAGCTGGCAGCTCCCTGCAGCCACTCCAGCAGCTGTGTAATTAAACATTCCTTCTCATCTCATGAAATGAAATAAAATGGAGAATATGGAGGTAGTCATAACTCCACCCCATTGTTAACTATCCAGCCAGAACTTGAGAGAGAATAGCTTCATGTTAGATTTCTTTTTTCTTTTTGTATATGTGTTGTAGTCAAAAAGCCCACTTTTATTTATTAAGATTATAATGAATATTATTTTTTAATCAGTAGCTGAATTTCTTAAATTCAGCTAGGGAAGTTTTTACTTTCTTACTGTCTCTGAAGTTGATGGTTTCCAAAAGAGTAAGAGAGCAGAAGTAATAGAAATGTGGAAAGCTTCAGTGGCAATTACAGTTCTGAAGAATGGCTGATGACAAGTAGTATAGTTTGAAGGGGAAAGATGATACCTATATGGGAGAAAAATTTGAGTTAAAAATAAATGTTAAAATTTCTATTAATTGCAGTGTGGCCAGAATACCTTTCTAAAAACCTGTTTAGATGGTTTAGATACCATGTCAAGCAATTATTCTTTTCCTAGTATGATGTAGTCTTTGCCATGTATAAAGAGCTGATCCTCAGTCTAATTAACTATCTAACCCAATCTCATAAATCACACAAATAACGCTGACAGTCAGAAGCATTGCAAGTGCTGTCCTTTTAACTTTTGGTAAAAATAAAATGTGAAGAGTCAAAGACCATTATTGTGTCTGTTGAAGAATCAAAAAAGGTGAGCTGTGATGAAATCAGACAATTGGTATCAGCTCAGTAACGTGACTTTACACTAACATTGAATATTGTGAGTTCATTCTCATCTTCAAAATTTTTCTCACCCTTTTTCTTTCTAGCAAAATGTATAGGATGTCAAAGATTAAAGCTGGTTGTGGCTTTTTGCCTTACACGAATTTATGTGGGAATCCACTTGAATTGTTACCGCACTGAAGCACAGCAGTAGCTATATCCATGATATGATGGAGAGATGATGTCTGGCTATAATAGGGCAGCTTATCTTAAGGAATGACAGAAAAGAAAATGCTCCCTAGAACACACAGAATTATTCAGTCCTTTTTCTAGTTTAGATTTGTGACATTGATTTGGCATGCCTTTGGTTCATGTAACAATTCTTTTTCTAGTGAGTACTGTCTCTCAGTAAGATAGCATTGGAAAATAACTCCATGATCATTTTTTTTTGCCCAAAATCAGTGCTGGTTGATTTTATTAAAGAATTTCCAATTTTGTATTTACTAAAAGCTCTTGACAGATCTTAAATAGCAAAGGTGTCTTAAAACATTAAGAAGCATTTAAGCATGTAAACTCTGAGAATGCCAAGCATATCCTAGGAATTACATTCTGAAGTCTAATTTATACTCTTTATTTTGCTAGTATTGCTGGATGTCAGGGAAATATTGTAGATTATCTTCTTTTGATACGTTTCCCTTGTGTCCATATTAATTTCTGTACAGTGGCAACATTTCCTGTGCCAATATTTTTAGTGAATATTTATCTTTTTTAATACAGTCCAGTTGTATAAAAGTAGAGCTTTGCTTTTTATGTGACAGAAATATTATTCTTGTACCTGATAGTGTAAGTGAAAATTACAAATAAGGAACAAATTTAATTGAACTAAAATATTAATGAAGCAAAAAAGAAAGCATTGCTGTGTGTAGTGCCCCATCTCTAGTTTCTGAACCAAATTTACAGTATACATAGTGTAAGAATCTATTTTTCTTCTACATCTCTGCTACACTAGTACAATGAGTCAGATCCCAACACCATCTTTAAAATTGTTCTTTAAGTCAAAAACTTACTAGGTCTAAAGCTAACAATTACCCAGAAAGAAATCTTCAGGTTTTTCTACTGTCAGTAGTGCTCAGCAAGCCTACAAATAAAGGCTTTAATATATCCTAGCTTAAAGTTTTCTTTATTCTGATGCAGCTTTAAACACAAGTTTGAGACACTGATTAAGAATGTAACTTTATGGAGTATGTGTTAATTGTTCCCAAACAGAGGTAAAAATGGACATAGCAAAATGAGGCAAAGGTACTTTGCATTTAGTAAAATGAAATACAGACAAGCTGTTGATCTAAATGAAGTTTGTGTTAAGGTTATTCATTATATTTTCCCCTTTAAGTATCTCAGAGTGGTATTTGTCCTAAATATTTGTGCTTTCTTCTGGAAGCTACTACATCCTCAAGACAAAGTGCAATTAATTCAAAGTACAATGTAACTATCTGATTTTTGAACAAAAGTTCTTCAGAGTGAAGAAAGGAGTTAATTTCATTATGTTGCATATTTGCACTATGATTAACATACATATGATTTTAGTTCTTTAGCATTTATAAGTCTATTTATGCAGATGGACTCCTGAGCCCAGACTGCTCTGACACCAGAGTGGGATTTGGAAAGACATGGCACTGTGCCCATGTTCTTGCAGATCTGCAGCATAACTGCAGGAAAGCTGATAGTAATCTGTTTGGTCACTGAAAACTCCGCAAAACAGCCACATTTTGTGGCAAAGCAACTCCATCTAATCTAACTCATCAAAATTAAAAGGTTATACAGAGGCATAAGCATCCATCGTTCGTTCACGGGTATACAGAACATTTCTCTTTGATACAGGAAAAAAACCAAAACTTTATTTTTGTTGTAATTTTATTCATTTTCCTTTTGTTTTCAATAGTGTGTGACATAATCTCACAGATACAGATGCTGTACTTATTGTTGAGTCTGTGTATGGGTTGGACAATAGGCAGAATGAAGAAATCTCATGGCAGACCTCTTCAGTGGGATTCCAGTCCAGCGTCTACCGGCATTGCTGTAGTAGTTGTTGTTACACAGGTTTGCATTTCATATTCCTTCTTACACTGAGGTATACAGCTGCTATTAAGTATGACAGAACTGTGAACCAAATAATTTCAATATTTTAATTTTATGAGGGAGGAAGGGAGTATCAAGACTGGAAAAAAGCCCACAGCATAATGTGCACCCAGTATGTCTAATAGGTAACACCACCTTCTCTTTACTTTAACAATTTAAGATGTAGCTCCACAGTATGTTTTTGTCTAGCAGTAAAACCAGTTAAGAAGTTCCCACAGTTTCCCAAACTCCTGATTGTGCCAATTGTTTGTAGCATTATACTGTGAACCAGATTACTGGAACAACCTAGACTGAAAAAAAAAAAGTAAAACAAACTTTTTTTACACATTTTATTGATCTGATTTGCAATGTGGTCCTATAAATAGTTGTAATCAGTACAGCTGAGGCATTGTGAACTGCATTATGCAGATTGACAACCAGCAGCATGGGAGGAAGGACGAGAAAAGTTGCTGTGACAGTCTTTGTCATGAAAACACAGAAATCATCAGTGCCCTCCTTTTGGAAGCACTCAAATAGAATGTCTAATGGTCCTTTCAATCAATATAAGGAAGGGAATTCTTGAAAGGTTCATGTGCAGGATTGGTCTTGCAAATATACAAATGGTCTGACACATAATTTCATTCAAATATTTTCCATTAGTATAAATTAGAAAGTTAAGTAAACCAGTAACTTAAAAGTAAATTGTAATGGAAATCATTCAACCCTGGTGGTGCCTTTTGTAAACAAATTTTTTTTAAATCACATCATTAAGACAAGAATCTGAAAACCATTGAGAAAGAGAAGGGAGAAACTGGAGACAGTACTGAGGAAGAGATTATACTGAAAATTTTTGTGCTATTTGGGTAGTATCTGTAATTAGCACTGCTTCTAAACTAAATAAGTGGACTTCTAGAACATTAAGAATAGCTGGGAGCTGGCATTTCTTGCTAATTAAGAATATAAACCAAAGGCTGTTAAGGTCAGTGTTGAAATTTAAAGATGGGTGTCAAAGTAAGGTGGAATGAACCTATCCAGCACCAGAAATTTTACATGCTGGTAGTAAAGAAGACTTCTAAAGTATTTAATTTCATTCATGCCTCTGCACTTGTGCATATGTATGGGTTTGTTAATATTCTGCTGCTTGAGACTGGAAACTTTTTCATTGTTGTTTCCCTTTATTATACATAGAAAAGACAGTATAATCAGCTTGATCTTATTTTGGTTGTTACTTGTGGTAAAAGTGGGGCAGGCATCATACATGTGAGCTGCTTCCCCGAAGACTGGTCCATTAGACATCTTGTGGTTCTTGGAGCAGCACTGGAACTGCATTAGTACACAATTGTCTGTCTTACTTTTCACCAGGAAGGCACAGCTCCACCTAATCTCCTTCTGTACCATTGGGAGTGTCAGGTTTGGCAGGAGTCTTGCAGGAGCACAATCTGGATATTGGAATATGTCATTGCTTAAGTGGTTTTGCACCTCCATCTCAGTGTCTACTGTCTCCAGTGAAATTTCCCTCACACCAAGAGTATCCCTTCTGGAGAGGATATTTTCCATCTCATGGTTCAGTACATACAAAATGCACCTTTTGTCAGATTTTATTCTCCTAATTACAGAGTGCAGCTATTGGGCTCAGGGAAATAGGATTTAGACAGTTTTTCACTGGTCTGTCTAGATTGACATGGATGTTTGACCTGCTATAAACACTCAGTTGGCCCTTTTAAGGGCTAAAAACCTAGAATAACCTTCTTCCTGTTCTGATCTTTCCCAGAGATTCTTATGGGAGAACCAGCTTCCTCTTATGTCAGAGATTGGACAAACTTCATGTGGATAATCAGAGATGTTCTGAGGGCTTGCTGTGGAGGCTGCTGGAAACTATGTGCATTAACCTAATGCAGCAGATAGAGATTGCACCATGTTAGTTTTACTGACATTCTCCCATACCTGTCCTCATCTTATCTTCAGGGAAGTCAGGAAAGTCAACAGCCTAGAAAATGTGTTGTTCTTCACCTTAAATGCAGTTTTGACTAGCAGGCTATCTGAGCCTGTTTGCCTGCTACTAGTTCGAATTGCTCAGCAGATTTTCAGGGGTTTTTCTCCTCTTGGTACTGATGCTATGGATTTTTTCTTATTGTTCTTTCAGAAGCACTAGCAATTTCCTGGGCTGTGTTCATGGGTTGTCTTCAGTGTCAGGTGGACACAGCCTCCTAGTCAGCAGATGTCTTGTGGTCTTTGCAGCTGCAAAGAGGTAACATCTCAAAGGAGGGACAAGTCTGCCATTTAGCATCTCCCTTTGCCTTAACTTGTTCTTTATTTCAGCCACAGAATAAAAGATTCCCAGGCTGCTGTGCATTCATTAAAAATTCCACTTTCTGCTGCTGAATCACAAACCTTGTACAGAACTTTATTGATGGCAGGCCCTTGCCATCACATAGACTTGAGCAGTTTCAACTTTCAAGGCTGATCAGACTGTAGGCAGTGATTCTGGAAAGATAGCTGATTGCTCTGAACCTGATCAAAATGGCATAGAATCTTACTGCATTAGACATCACCCTACACAGGGGTTCTTAGGTGTGCTCAGAATGAGCTCTGCCTCTGACCTTAGATCTAAACCATTTTTTGCTGTACTGCATTGCATGACATCAGATAACTCAGTACTAGATATGGTTGGGAACAGCTAGTTTGCCTTGCTGCTCCTTCTAATTTCCCTTTTGCTTCCCCCTTCCCCTTACCTCTCAGGGGTGATCTGTCCCATGAGAACCTGGAGATTGATACCTTATCTTGGCTTGTCATAAAGTCAGTGTTGGCATCATGGAGGGAAGGAGGAGTTCTACCATAATGGTTTTCTCATGACATGAAGGAAGAGTTCTTCTTCATATGGATGTGGAGGTTCTGCTTGTATATCTGGAACATCAGGATGATATCCATGGCCACCATTCCTCTAGTATTTGAAGAGAAGGCCAGTACTGGACAGGGGTTGGTGTCCCCCGTGAGCCAGGATAGGTCAGGATTATATACAGGTAAAGTCAGGCATTTTGAACAGTGTGTTATGTAAACAAGGAGATGGTCGTTCTGTTCCATCTTATGAAGGAGCAGTGACTTTAATGTTGGGCATGGCATAGTGTGAGTCAGCTCTTTAGCTTCCTCTCTCATCCAGTTCTTTCGTCTACAGCCTAAGCACAGTTGTTCTTCTGGATAACAATTAGAATTGCCCCCCCTGATTTCTTCTCAGAGCTCAAACATAATTCTGCTCACTGCCAACAAGAGATGTCTCTGATGTCTACTTCAACAGGTTGATGTCTGGTGCTTTTAAGTTTGTTCCTGATATTGCAGCTAAGTGAGCTGATACTTGCCTTTCTGTGGTCAAGGTAAGGGACCTTAGGATTCCTTGACTTTGATTTCTCAAATTTTAATTTTTTTTTTTTATTTCACAACCAAAGAGATTTTAACTTCAACATCATACTTGTCTATGAAGGTGTTTCTTCATTGAAAACAGATTGTGTAGTCTGTTTTTACCTAGAAACACTTGAAAGCACAGTTTTCTATAGAATCCTGCTTTTCCCAGGTGAGTGAGAACAGCCCCAGCTCATAGAAAAGGCAATGATACATTTACTTTGTCCAAATTTACACTGTGTTGCACTGACAGTTCCACCTCTGCCTCTAACACCTCTTCCTTCTGCTTATTTTGGAATAATCTAATGAAGCTGAAGGAAACTGGACTTCTGTGATCTCACATTCCTGTCACCATACACAGCCTTTGATCAACTGATGTTGTGTTGTTTACACTCTTTAAAGGGCTAGTCCAGAACACACTCTGCTCTCAGACACTATTATCCTATGAGGACTTGGGCTTTGTTCTCATGATCCCTTTACTCCAGCTCTTTGTCATCTTCCCATGAAAGTGCCTTTTTTCTTTGCTGTTACCCTTGGTGTAGACTAAGGAAAATTCAGGCCTTCATGAGCTCTGGCTTTTAAGGTAAGGTAGGTTCCAGTGATATTTTCTTAGAGCAGTATCACAGTTCTGTCTCCATCAGCCTGTATGGCTTCCCCCCAGATGCTTGAGTCAGGAAGATCCTACACATAAGTTCAGGGAGCCTTTTATTTTCTCAAGCAGAATATGTACAGTCCAGGGAAGTTAAATATCTTGGCTGTTCCCAAATGTAAATATCAAAAGGGAAAATGCTGACAAAACTGCGGTGATTCTGTAACTGGTAGAACCGTTGTTCGTTGTCTAAGCATGTTCTAACTGGACTGAAATAACTTCTGTGATAGGAATTCATCAATTTCATGCCAAAACTAGTGCTGCAGACACAACGTTACCAAACACTGTGCTGTATCTCAGGGATTTGGGAGCAGTTTAGTCTTACTTCAGTCTTACTCTTTGACAGAATTCTCAGTCAAGTAACTTGATCATTTGAAGATGTTTGCTTGAAATCACACCTTTTCTGATCATTATGGTGAGAACATTTGAAGCCTGTTGGTCAGGTTGTGTGCTAGTAGTCAGTGATGTTGAAAACACGCATGCTTTATGTCTGTCCCTCTCCCATCCTTCCATTTTCCATCCAGTTGGTTGAGGAGTGACTGAAGTGAGAGCAGCTGTGAAATGACAGGGCTGTGTCCCCCTTAGGTAAGGGAGGGGGAAAGGAGGAGAGTACTCTGAAGATATTCTAAGCACAAATTATTCTAATACTCAACTGATGAGACTCAAGGCCACCCACCTTTGGAAGGCTCAGGTGGATTACACATTTTTTAAAAAGTTAATATTAGGAACCTTTTTGTCTTTATGTAGTGAGAAAGCCTTTGAATGTGTTCAGAAAGGAATTTGACTAATTTATATTTCTAAATTGAGCTATACAATGTCTGCTTCTGAAGACCTTCAGAGCTACTTCACTCATCAAATTTGCCTACCTTTCTTTAAAAAACCTGCTTTATTAGGCACCTGAAGCCTTAGTGCAAGTTAGATATGTGCAGTAGGTGGACTGGATTCCAGTGTATATTCAAGTTTTAAAATGCCATTCAGCTGCTACATGATGCTCCAAGAGTCTAAACTTTATACATTAGTTAGCAATTCACAATGTTAACACAATGTTAGCATTCCCAAAGTCCTGAAAAGATGTTCTTCAGCAAGACACATTTTTTCATGCATCTGGCTGGGGTCTTCTTCACAACTAAGATCCAGAAACTGGGTGCTTGTTAGTCTGTTTTTCCTTGGAGAGTATCAATATTGTTTCTCACAGTGCTCCCAGAAAATTGGATTCCCCAGCAGATGGATACAATGCTGGGAGTTAAGAAGGAGGTTACTGTCTTTTATGTAGTTATCTGTTGGCTGGAGTGCTCGGCCAGATGTTGGAATGGCATTTGGAGCCTGTAACACTCCCTTTCCTAGACCCTAGGAGGTTTCTGAGCCAGGTGTTTGCAGAGTCAGGCTCACTCACAGTTTCTGACCTAGCTGACGCTGAATTCTTTTCTCCACGATGGCATAGCTTCAATAGAAGGGGTGGAGAGTGGCCCACCCAAGAACACCCTATAGCCTGGCAGTTGCAGCACTCTCCAAGGAGGTGGGAGATGTGAATTGGATATCCTTTAGGCAAAGAAGGGAATTGTGGGAGATCCAAGTTCAACCTGGGTGAATGCTTGAGCCTTAAGGCTATTGTATAAAAGGGGCAGCAGCACCACCCTCTTACTTCCCCATCTTTGAAAAGAAAAGTGAATCCTGTTAGGATTTTGAAAGAAAAGGCGTAGTCGCCTGCCTTTGAAACAAGCTTTACAGGTTGTGGATCACAAGTGAAAGGAGACACCTCCCTGTAGCTCTGTGAAATCATTTCAGTGGTCTTCCTGCAGAGTAGGACAAGTGTGCAGGTGATTATTTCACATTTTTTTCTAAGGTGCTACATTCCCTCTATCCACATTAGAGGAAACTTTAACTTGTCCAGCTTTGTACAAGTTACAGCATACAAGAAGTGAGACTCTGTTCCTGCCAGTTGCAGTTGGAGTAATAGGTCACAGCAAAAAGCATTTCAGACTAGGGTTTGTTGGATTTTTTTGCTTAGGATTGCAGTCCCTAACAAGTAGACTGGAGCATTAGCAGATAACTTAATCTGTCACAGGAAAGTTAGTTGAGAGTTAATGTAAGCTGGTTTATTCTAAGTGCACTTTGCTGTTGTTCTTTTTCAGAGCTTCTTGTTAATTTGGGAGCAGTTTGAAGATACAAATCACCACAGCTACCATTCACACCATGGCTTGGCGAGTGGGCTGCTCATTGGCCTCAGAGTCTGCCTAGCTCTGTCCCTGGCTGCTGGGCTGTACCAGATTATCACAGTGGAGAGAAGCACACTGAAAAGGGAGTTCTACATCACCTTTGCCAAAGTATGGCTTACATCAAGCAAACTGATCCCTTTGTCTGTAAATACAAGTGGCATGCAGTTGACTGAAGCACTAAACTCTTTCCCTCCATAAGAAAGTGTCTGACTTGATTATATTGCACCCTGTCATCATACTCTGAAGCAGGCATTTTAATTTGACAAGGAGTATAGAGCTTTTTAAAACAGAAATCCCACCTTTCATTGTGTGGTTTTCGTTATGTTGATTGAAAATTAAACAATGGGTTCATAAAATAGACAGAAATGTAAATGTAGTTCCTGTAACTGTCATCTCTTTCTTCTAAGCTGGCATGTAGTCATTTTACAGCTTACACTCATCTTCTTTTTTAGGCCTGCATTCTCTGGTTTCTGTGCCACCCATGTCTTGCAACCATTGCTGTAATATTCAGAGAATATCAAAGAGAAAAGGTATGTACAGGCAAGATAAAAGAGATGAAATTTGAATAGTAGTTGTTCTTCATGTTTAATGTTTGTTAGCAAACTCATGCTCTTAGGCTGTTAATCCTGTGACCCCAAAGCAACTTGAAAAGTCTTAGTCACACAGCTCTCATTGATGCTAATGTGAGTCATATTTTACAAAGGCATACAGGGCTCAAATCATCTAAGGGTAATCATTTCTGGGTTAAGGGAGGGAGAGGGGGAGATTGTTAAGTCAAAGGAAAATGTGGAGGGGGTGTTTTGTTTTATTGTTTGCTTGTTTGCTTTTAATTAAAAACACCTTGGAGATTCTTTTAACAAAGGGAGTAGAAAGATAAATCAGTGGATTTTTTTTGTTGTTTGCTTTTTAGTCTTCATCCTTTAAAAGCTTTATGTGGCTAAATAGGTCAGGGAACCTGTAGCTGAACTGTATTCTTTAGATCAAGAAGTCTGTCCAAATATGTTGTTTGGTTTGTAAGCTCTAAGCAGTTAAAAACAAAGGTGGACTCGCTCAGTTTCTCGGTTGCTTAAATTGGGAAGTGGAGAATTCTGTGTGTGCAGCCTGCCATGTTCAGATGAAGTGCACCACTGTTCTCAGGTGATTGACTACCTCCTTCCAGCATAGGGTTTGCTTCTTTTCTTTATGCTTATAACCATCTGTGCATTTGTATGCAAATATATTCAGAAAATGAGCTTTTATTTGTGTAGAGGATATGTAATGGAAAGAAAAAGGTTTTATTAAATATAAATGATAAATTCTGTGTTTGATTTACAAAAAAAAAAAAAAAAAAGGAAATCTAGGCTGAAAAAAAATTGATTAAAATTGATTCCTCTAGAGTTACTAATGAAGAGACTTTTTGTTTTCCTTGATGAAAACATCCTCAGGGCAGGAGGACAGTCTCCAGAGGTACCAGTCAAGTGGTATTTTTGCAGTATTTTGAGCTTACTAAAGAAAGACTACAATTGCTCTGCTCTTGCGTTTGAGCAACTTTAACCATTATGTGCAGCTGCAGTTCCTACACTATGATAATTCAGCTGTGTTTGCTTCTTCAAATGCACCTCAATAAAATAAAATGCACAATCAATAAATACCATACTTATTTAAGAAAAACATGCATTTTAAAGGATTGCCTGCACATAAACTGGAGACTTGTGCCTTCTCAGAAGCAAGTTACACCTTTAGGCATTTGATAAATATAGCCTTACACAGCTTTTGCAGATGAAGAGACTTGAACTGAAAGAGATCTGGCTAAGTGAGACTGACAAATCACTATCCTCAGCTCCATGATTTTGCTAGTGCAAAGTGTTTCCAAGCTTTCTTCCCCCCCCAGTCTGTTTGTTGTAAGAATAGAATATCTAAACATCACCTCTGCTTGTGAAACTGCATGGGTGGTGAATTGCAAGTCTGAAATTCCCCAGAACAGAGACTGCCAGAAGGGTTATGTGACTTGCCCAGGGCTATCTACTGATTTAAAAACACCCAGGTGTGAGAGTCTGATTCCTGGACTTAAAATGCATGTTCAAATCTTTTGTAACTGCAGCAGTGTTAAAGGGTTTAAAGTTAAACCTCGAGCACTCATGCTGATAGAAATTTATTGTGGCTTGCCTAGTGAGAGAGTTTTTTTCACTTACTATTTCTTCCTCTCTTTTTTTTGTCTCTAGATTATTACCATAGGAGTTATCCTCTGTCAGTGCATCTCCATGGTTATCCTCTACAGACTTTTTCTATCTCATAGTCTATATTGGGAAGTATCTTCACTGTCATCAGTGACATTGCCACTAACAATATCCTCTGGACATAAAAATCGACATCACTTCTGAGATGTTTGGGAAGAATACATTACCTAATAAATGTGCAATAATGACTTGAATATGCAGGTATTTTTGTCACAAGTGTATGATACATTGGTTTCACTGGAAAACTGAGTGATAATATCAAAGCACTTCACAGACCGTTAGTCTGACGAGATTCCTAGATAAATGTGTTAAAAATATTGTGGAGTTGAATACTGAAGAGTATTGAAAAATATTGAAGAGTTTTATAGATACCGTTTAACAAGTGGTGCTGAGTTATATCACAGAAGAGTACAATGAATCTTTTCTCTCCCATTCACGGACACCAAAAATGCCATTACTTTGTGTCAGTACTAGGTTTGAAGGTCTTATAAAATGGAGTTCCTAAAACATCTACGTGCTCAAACAAGTTTAAAATAGGCCAGTTGTGAAATTGGTGTGATGCATAACGATGAGTAAAAGGATTTTTTTTGTTTTCATGCTTTAGAGAAAATGCATTTTATGTATCAGTGTAAAAGATAGGGAAAGAAAGGAGGGAGAATCATCTAGAAAACATATGTAAAATGTTCACAACTGACTGCAAGAAACCTTCCTTTGTCATGGGTGTAAAAGAAAAGCCTTTTTTTGCATCTAATGTTCATACTGGTTAAAATCCTAATGGGAATGTAAATAGGGTTTATGTCTTCCTTTTTTAAAAAATAAGTAAATGTAACTAAAAATTCCATCCAGTAATCAAGGTCTGAACAGTTTTTGAGGCTTGGAATACATAGCAACATAAAGGTAATTAAAACAGCAGCCTTGCATCTTTTAAAGGAGAAAAAAAAGGCAAAGAAAATGGAATGGGTGATGTGGTACTAGAATTTTAATCCTGATATAATTCATTTCTGTTACATTGAGGATTCAATCATAATTAAGCCATATACACAGATTAAATTAACAGAAGCATTTCAAATAAATGTTGGTTTCAGTCATCAACTACCCATGAATTCCTGCCCAAGGATACTTAATCAGGATTAAATTTTCTATGAATAATTGAAAAACAAAATACTCACTGGATTTGTTATAATCCATGTTGGCACTGGGTTCTAAGTAGTTGCCATCTTCCATCCGTTGTAATAAAGCCATTCTATTTTGTGATGCCCTAGCATCCAGAAAGCCAGTGTAAATATATACTTTATTGAAGTGCCTATTTATAGAGTATGATTAAATCATGCTGACACTTTTTTTCTTTCATAATAAGAACATACCTATTGCCATTGTGAGTGAAATTTTTCATTTTGGATTTAGCTTAGTTTAAACTTCGTACATGTGTGTTTCTTCACAAAATGGATTTTATTTTCTAGTAAATCAATGTTTGCTTCTTCTTAACAGCGTGCATTTGATTATGTCTCTGTGAAAATGTGAAGACACTGGTTCTATCTTTAAAATAGCCCTAAGTTTTCCATTTATCTTTGCCTCAGTTGTGAGCATAGTTGAAACATAAGTCTGTTCCATTTTAGTTTAGAGGCAAAACTAGATATTTGCCTTTGACTAAGGCAAAATGGCAACATGACAAAGTTGCTCATTAAATCATCTCCTTTCTTATTGTTTGTAATTCAGATCAAGAATGGCAGGTTGAGGCTGGAAAAGATGAGATATTATGATTTCACACCATCTTTAGAATGATTAAAAGATTAATTATTACATTCCTCTGATAACCACACAAAAATATTATTGGTTAAAACTTCAGTCTTTATTTCCTAGCTTATCTCTGTACTTTTCATCTTCTCAAGAAAAAAGCATCCTGGTTTTGATAAGTCTCCAATAATGTAGTAAAAGAGTTCTATCTGTCCTCATGTATAAGACTTCAAATTCACACATAAAATAGAATTTTCTGATAGACACAAGTACTGCTTTACAGTTTATGATCCATCATGATAAAAGTTTTAATCTATGCAAAAAAACCTCTATGTGACTTTCAGAAGAGGCACTCCATTTGTTTTGTTTTCCAGAAGTACTGTCTTACTTCCTGTAGTTCTTCTGACTTGGCTTGGTCAGTATTATGATGCCATTTACCTTATTTTCACTTTATAGATACACCCCACAACAAATCATGGTTCATTAGTGTAGGCATGAAACATAAGGTGGTGTCTTTTACATCTTTAGCTCATTGCCCCATAGGTCAACAGTTTCTTAGTTTGGCATTGGTTCCAGTAACTTGGAAATAAATTTTAATTTTGCTATTAATGTACTGTAGCAATGAAGTATCACTTTCTCAGGGGAAGTGGCACAAAGGGTCTCTTTAAATAATATTAAATTTATTATTAAATAATACATGCACGCTGTAGCAGTGTGTCACTATGACTGCAGTAATATTCAGTTAATTTGGTGCAGGGTATCTTGGGGAAGTAGGAAATCTTCAAGTATGACTAATGGACAAAGCTTCGTACTTAACCTGTAGTCTGTGTTGTAACTTAGTGCCTCTGATCATGCATGAGGAGTGGCTCAAGTATGTAAAAGTCTCTCTCTTCTTTCTAACTTACATCTCCTGGGAGAATAGCTGATAAAACCTTGCTTTTTTCATGCTTATCCACCCTGTTACCCATTCTATCAATTTGATTTCATAACTTCATCTTGAAAAAATAGCTTCCAGCCTTCTTCCAGTTGTCCTCAATCTGAGCATCCCAACTTGAAAACTGTATTTCTAAAGTGTGCTTTCTGTCACCCCCTCATTTTCTGTCACACATTAGGCTTTTGTGTGCATCAGCTGGTGCTGTGCCCTACATCAGGACTGCACTAGGTAACAGCAGGGGACAGAAGCACTCCTCCATAGCCCCAGTGTGTACGAGGTGTGAGTTTGTGCCTGCTGAAAGCTGCCACACACCTGGGGAATGTTCAGGAAGGGCTTCAGCAGTTCCAGGCTCCCTGACACCTCACTGCTGCACGGGGCTGAAGCAGGGTCCCCCTGAAGGCAGCACTGACCATGGTGAGCAGCACTGTTGAGGTCAGAGCACAGCATCTCACCTGAGAGATTTCGTGCAGTTCTGTTTTCGATAAAGTTGGGGTTTCTGTGTCTGCTCATTCTATGGCCTGTTTCAGTGCTTGCACAATAGGAGTGTGTATTGACAAGACTGCAAACTGAAGTTGGTTGTGCTCTGAAGAAATCCACTTCTCTGTGTGAGAGGGCATCACTTGGCCAGCCATCACCATTTCTGCAGATGCCAGTTTGTGTCAGCTGTGATTTACTGGTTGGGAGGGAGGATCTCAGTGCAGTAGACAAAAGGGTGAGATGACCAACTCGATCTACAAGCCCCCCCACAAGCTCTCAGGAGGGATCTTCCTGCCTTGCTTCTCACCAGCCGTGGAGACTGGAGCAGTTCTGGGGCTCATCATAAGTCTCCTCAGCTATTCACTCCCCTTCCACATAGACTGTGTTTATTGTATATTTATTTAAAGTGCTTCAGGTAGGAAAATGAATATTTACAATTAAATATATGTAAATGGAAGTGGAAAGACTTGATTGGAAAAATACCAAGTTTCTAATACATATTACAATACTAAGACCTCCCACACAAGATAAACGTTTATAGCCAGATCTAAATGAATATTTCTTTCTGGTTCCTGTGCCAGTGGAAAGCCATGGAAGTATCAAGATCTTTTTGTTTGCATCTCAGTCCTCTACAGAACTGGAAGAATGCTTTATTTGATTTGGTTTTAGTTTATTCTGTGCAGTGCCCTGCCTCTAATTGATAGAATAAAGGTATGGGGCTGGCTAACACTGCTATTAGGCTGTACCTTTTAACTCTTTGTGTGACTATGCAATGTACAAAGAGCAGATTCCCCTTGTGGATGTCAAACATTAAAAAAACTATTGAGCTGATTTTCAAAGGATCCTTCTTCTCTAACTGCACTGATCTGACCAGGCTGTGGTTTTCCACTGAACGCTAAGTTCTGATTCCAGTTTTCCTTAAACCATTATTTTCTGCAAATCTATTTCCTGCCTTGTGAATTCTCTCTCCCACTGTGCTCTCGCTGCCCTCCCCTCTCCCCCTCTCTCATACATATGATTTTGGGTGTAATGGGTGTCATTTCTCTCTCTATCTCTCCATCTGTTCCCACGATCAACGCTCACAGTCCAGCCCCTGCTTTGCATGTAGTGTGTGTGTATCCTCTTTATCCCTGGCCTGTTTTGATTTCGCGCTTTTCCTGTCTCTCCTTTGCCCTCTGTGCCATCTTTCTAGTCTCCATAGCCATCAGAGACCTCAGGGTGTGGTTTGACATTGCAGCTAATTTGGGCTGTTAGCTGTTAAAAATAGTGTCCCTGTTCCCCTGGCTGCACACTGCTCTCACTTCCCTTGAACTGACACCGGCTGTCACCTCGCAGTTTGAGTGAGGAATCGAGGAGTTAAACTGGTTAACAATTCAGCCTTTAGCAGCAGCCAAAGAAAAAACAATTTGGTTCTCAGTGGTTTTAGCTCAGCAAACCAGATTCACCAAACTTTGTTGAGTGCTGGTGACACTGTTGGAGATGGGGTCAGAAAGGCACGTTGAAGAGAGGCCAGAAGCCCTTTAGAAGTCTGGCTGCAGGGTTGGTCAGTCTTTCACAAGCTGTCAGCCTTTTAATTCCTCCATCTCTCTTCTCTAGGTCTCCCGCTACATTTTGCATGCTGAGGGTTGGACTGTCCCTGCCCTTGACCGCTGTCTTTCAACAGGAATGTGTCATTAGGGGCAGAAGGGTTCCAGCAGAAAGAAAACTGTTCAGCTGCTTTAAAGTATTTTAACTTGAATTGAAGTGTGCCTTTGCAGCCTTAAAAAGGAGCTGGGAGGGGTCACGAGCAGCCCCCAGTGTAAGGAAGTATTTTTGAGGAGAGAATAACCGTGATAACAGACACGACTGGAGTGGGTGCCATTTTTTTCAGCAGATGGTAACACTGTGGAAGAAGGCAGCCCAGGATGTCACATGGCTTTTCACAAGGTCTGCCTGTGGGTAAGGAGAGACTCAATCTAAACATCTGCGACCCAAAGAGCAAAGGTTTCCAGCAGCGGGTGCTCTGGAAGGTTGTCTTTATTTTCAGCTGGGATGCGTGATTTCAGAAGGCTCTGGAGGGATGGGGAGGATCTGTTTACCCTGTGGTCAAGTGCTCCTGAGTTTGTCCAGCTTGGTGTACGAGTTTGGCTTCTAATGCTCCTGCAACAACCCCCTCCCAAAAAATGAATGACTGGAATCCGAAAACAAGGTATCTCAGTAATCTCTCCTTCTTTAATACAGTAACCACAACTGAAAGAGTGTATGTGCACCTTGTTAGTGTATACTTTTTTTTGCTTAGTTTCTCACCCTTCCAGCCTCTTAAAACAATGGCATTATTTTCAAATCAAATTTTATAAAATGAACATTGGAGTTGTTAAGAAGAGATCAAAATTTACATAAGACTTCTATGTAACCTATTACCTATGAAAATTTACTTCAGGCTGAAACATGTTTTCCAAAGTTTACAGCATACAAAACAAATGGGGTTTTAAAATTTCTTTACTTATGATTACCTTAAATTGTGTTTTCTAAGAGGGAAGGGGGAAAAAAAACCTTGGAACATTACCAGTTTAATTTGCATTTTGGCTCTGATGTAACTCAAAATAGATTAGATTAAAAAAGGAAATTTGGCAAGTGATTACTCAATTACATGATTTTACTGCTTTGGTATTTTGAAAATAAAAATGAACAGATCTGTTTTACTTTGAAAAGCGCCTGGTGCACGTGTGCTGTAACCACTTTTCAGAAACCATATGGAAGGTTCCCTACGCTGCATATGGCAATGCAATACCAGAGCTCAGATATGTATTCCTGTGATAGACTACACAGGATTCAGTTGCATCAGGGATATTAATGTCTACATTCAGATAGTGCTGTATGGAAGCTCAGCAGGGTAATGGCTTTGGTGTAAAACATGGCAAGTTCCCAGTGACAGGGCTGCATTGCTCCTTTTCCATAGAAAGGAACTAAAATTGTTTGAAGCAAGTGCCAGGCCAGGAAGTTTGCAGGAATTTCGGGAAGGGTTGCAGTTACTATTTTGCAAGATAGTAAAGGTGAGCAGCATCAATAGATACTTCAAAACATTTCATCATCTAGAGCTATGGTAGCTGCTCATCTCTAGCCTTCATGCCGAGGGTAGGAAGCCTCTGCTCACTCCTAGAAGACCAAGCAAGTGGTGACAAACTCCCTAGAGTAACAAAGCATTGATCCTCCACATGGTGAGGGATGGGGTAGTACTGTGCCTTAAACTGGCTATCATCAGGATTATCTGTAATTCCCATCACCCTATTTTCATTAGCAAACTGGTAGGAGAAGATGGACCATCTGTCACTCCATCACTGATGTGTCCCCTTGGAGTCCC